TCTCTCTCTTTCTCTCTCTCTCTCTCTTTCTCTCTCTCATATCATTTATTGATTGAAATATTTTGTTTAATTTGTAGGAGAAATACCTTTGCAGGAGATATTATCAATGTTAAATGATGATGAAAATGGTAATCCAAAATGGGAAGGATTGGAACAACGTGGTACGCAATGGCGTGAATTTAAATGCGGTAAAACTCGCTATCAATTATCGTTTAAGCGTAATTGGCTTCTTGGTTGTGTTGATAATAATGATAAGGTTTGACAGTATTATTTGTTTTAATTTAATCCAATAATTTATTATCATTTTTTTTTTTTTTTTGGAATAGCTAATAAATATTTGTACTAAAGTATTAATCTTGATGCTAACAAAAAAAAAAAAAAAAATGCACCAAAATGAAATAAAAATTAAGTAACGCTATAAAATTTATCTGATGATTTTTTTTTTTCTTCAGTAATTTCTTCTTATCTTTCTTTATCTTTTTAGTAATTTCTTATCTTCATTTATTTGAAGCATTCTTGTGATGCATCCAGCGAAGAGAGTGATGATCTACCAACAGATCTCAATCCGATCATTGAAGTCAAATCCACTACACCAAGCGTTCTCGATGTATCATCGTTGAAAAGACGCCGTAAAGGACGACTTAGCACATTGGATCGTTTTCCATCAATGATGAAAATATCTAATGGTACATTGGGACAGGTGATATTTGTTGTAAAACCTTTTTTTTTTTTTTAAATGATTTCGCCTTTCTATTTTTTTTATATTACTCATCTTGAATTTTTATTATCTTAATTATTTAGAATTTTGTTTCACCAAAAATCCCTGTTATTAATCGTGATTCTATGATTTCATTTAATCCCACTTCATACTTACTATTCTTCCTCAATCATTATGAAAATTCAATTTAAGACTTCTTTTTTTTTTGCCCTTTTTATCTTTTTAATTATTATTGTTTTTTTTTTAAATTTTGTTCTCGAATTATTTCTTTGTTAATTTAAATTTTTAGTGAATTTTGTTTAACCGAGTCCTTGTTATTAATTCTGATTCTATAATCTCATTTAATCCCACTTCACAGTACTATTCTTCCTCAATCATTATGAAAATTCAATTTAAGACTTCTTTTTTTTTTGCCCTTTTTATCTTTTTAATTATCGTTTTCTTTTTTATTTTGTTTTGAGTGTCTTCTTTAATTTGAATTATTTCTTTGTTAATTTAAATCTTTAGAGAAGTTATTAATTCAATTTGCATAACTTACATTTAAAGTGAAAAGAAGAGCGAAGAAGAAAGAGAGTAAAAATGGAGAAAGTTTTTCAAAAAAAAATTTTTTTAAAGCAATAATTTAATCTTTCATTCTCATTTTTTTTTTAAAAAATGTAAATTCTATAAATTTTTTTGCACTTTAAATTGATAGTAATTTCAGGATATGGAAAGTAGCATCTGTTCACAGACATGGTCTGAAATACCTCATCTCGATGGTGCAACTGCATCATTAGGTTCAATACGTTTACCACCTGTTCACTATTTAGGTAATACACTTCGCAGTAAACATCAGGTACGACGTAAATTACGTGCTCGACGTCTTCCACGATCTATGTCTGATGGTGAACATATTGGAATGTATATGGATGGTTAGTGACTATTTCTCTTTGCTTGGAATAATTAATGAGAAACTTTTTTGAATAATTTTAATTATAAATTAAGTTAAAACAAATTTTTTGAGGATAGTTAGCAAAAGTATCTCATTATAAGTGGGTAATTTTTTTTTTTTTTGTAAATGAAAGAAATAGATTGTTAGAAATGATAGTTTGTATTCTTATTACTTAAAAATTTAATTTTATTATCATTATGAATTAATAAAGATCATTAATACGTAATTACTGGTCTTTTTTTTTTTGATATGATTAAAAATGATTCGTTGTAATAAATGATTTTTTTTTTTTTATTGTAGCATCAATTCATTCAGCTCCCGGAGCATCAATGTCACACTGGAATGCTAATCTGTGTCTCGATAGTGATAGCACAGGACCGGATCAGAGTGATGCTCCACCATATGAATGGGATGATTATAGAGTTAGTTGTTAATTATTTGAAGTTTATGTCGAGTAAATTTGATCGTAACAATGCATGATCAATTGCTTTATCAAAATTAAGATCAATTTAGTGCATTCAGAATTTATGGTTACCGTGTTTTTGCTTCAGATATATTACAAAATTCTCTTGACCTTTGACATTATTTATATAACTAATACCTCATGGAATCTCTACTCCCAATTATTGATTGCAACATTTATGCTTTAATCCTAGAGAAGATAGTTATTCCAATAGTTTGTATTCTTATCACTCAAAAATTTAATTTTATTATCATTATTATGATTACTACAGGTAACATTTTATATGAGATATATTTTTGTCGGTTCATTTTAAATGCTAAATTTTCTCAAAATTTTTTTTCCTTTCTTTTTTTATTCCACCATATCTTTAGATAAATGAATTTCATCCGTTTGTTTTTATATTATCATGAAATTTAATTGCTTGAGCAATCTTGGAAAAGTTCATAATTTATCATTTCTTTATCTATTTTTTTATTACTTGTTTCATAGATCCTAAATATGCTAAGAATTGTTTAAATTATGAGTTATTAATTTATCATTTTTATTCATTTTGGACATTCTGAATAGAGTTGACAAATGGAATATACAAAGACGCTTATGAGAAATGGTAGAAAAAAAAAATGATGGCTTATTGCTTGTATAGCTGCTTTTCCAATTCATAATTGATAAACAAATAGAGTAATTCGTAAAGTTTACAAATTCATTTACCTAGATAGAAGAGCTTGAATTACATCGAGAAATGATAACTGTAAGGAGAAATTGAGGTTTTTTTTTT